ATATAACGTACGCTTGCTGCCAACCGCTGCCAGTAGACGATCGATAAATCGTGCGCCTGTGTATGCCCGTGGTAAAACACGAATATTTAAATGCTGCACGTGGACTCGGCCCGCGCGCGACTTAAAGCGCGGGAAACAACGCTCGCGCAAGAATGGCCAGCTGTGATCTGTACGGTGGGTAGCTTGTGTAGAATTCATACGATGACAAAAAGTTTTTCATAACAATGGTCTGGGTCTGGGCTAGTGGTTTTCCTCAGTTACTAGCCCGATGGTCTAGTGAAATAAAAAGTTAATGTTGAACCCTGTTACTGTACTTCCATTAGCAGAGGGGGGTACAGGGGGTCGGTGTTACGGTGTAAGCTTACATGGGGGCGGAAGACGATGTACATGTGGGCGGGAGATGTTCTGTACATACACAGTAAAAAACAAAAGTGCCTTGGTGCCCTTCTCAAATTGTGAGTTGCCTTGATGCCTTTTAAAATTGCCTCGATGCCCATCCATTTTAGAGAAAATTCAAGGCAATTTTTCACATGCCCCCAAAAAATTGCCTTGCCCCTCTTGTCGCTTAATTCGAGGCCTGATTGGCGATATACACATCTTTTGATATATGCCCATGTCTTGGAGCCAGTATACAAGTAATTTGTACTCATTTTAATTTACCTATTTTCTTTCTGCTTAGGGCTCTGTTGCATCTACTCAATTTCTGCTTTCTCGGTGAGTCCGACTGAGGCTGAGGGAGTATTGACGGAACATAGGTCAGGATGATACTTGATGTTGCTTTTCTTTCCTGGAGCAGAAATAATACATGTGGGAGAAAACTCCACTCAGTGACACTAATAAAGCAAAGAATAGAAGAAAGAGTTACTACTAAGTGTATACCCTACTATGTAAAAGTTGTACTGAGTTGACGTTAGTCGCACAGCCTGGTGGGGTTAGTAGGCCTAGGCCTACTAACTAATTAAGTAACAGTCAGTAGGCCTAATTAGTAAATTACTCAAACCTCTCAAGAACAAAATAACAATTGTAATTACACTGTATGGCTTTCTATCTATTTTCTAAATAGTTTGGCCTATAACTAAGTATAATCACTCATGAAAGTACTAACCTGATATGAAATGAGCTGAACAAACATAGGTATAGTCAGACTTGGACTGCCATAGAGATCCACTGCCACTGGCACTGCCTTCCTGCGTGCCGCAATTGATAGCTTTTAGCCACAGTACTGTTCTCTCAGGTTCAGTAGCTTCACTTGGTATTAAATAAAACAAAAGTTCAGGTTTCTTCGCTTTGTTATTTGTGCGACAAAACACAACAACTTTTAACCATTTTAGTTGCTTATTAAAACTACCAAACTGCAAAATAAACGATCGCACTACTACTCTCCAGTATTGCCTACTTCGCGTCCCTTTAATGCGCAGTGTTTGCGCCTTAGCGTCGGTTGCTATGCGTGCATTGAATTGTGGGACGGCGAAAGGTCCCGGATGTCCGACCGCGAGAATACGCTGGATTCGTTCGCTACTTCAAGTTCAACATCGGGTAGGCATATTACTAGTACTACTCCTACCTGTTTGTAATGGATATACTGGAAAGCTTCAAGAAGAACGAGCACACCGTAGCCACGTTTGTGAACCTAGAGGGGGCCTTTGACAGCGTATGGCAAGAAGCGGTTGTATACAAACTGGCAGACATCGGTATCAACGGCAGGCTTCTCCTTTACATAGCGAACTACCTCACTGGAAGAACTGCGCGCAACCTGGTAAACACATACCAGTTTGAATGGATCAAGACGGAGCTAGGTGTACCACAGGGATCGATAATCTCCCCTATAACCCTCAACCCTGAGAAATTTGTATTCGGCCAGGGCCACCGTTACATTTGCCGGGTTCGAGATTACACCAGACAGCGTGAGGCCTTGCCAGCAATTCCTGCAAGCGATCATGGATTTTTCAAAACCAAGGAACATCACCGACATCCGCTCTTGGTTCGGGCTCGCCAACCAGGTGTCATACGCCTTCAGCACGATAGAACGGATGCTTCCATTCCGCGAGTTCCAAAAGCATGGAACAGCATTCCACTGGGATGATCACCTGACAGAATTACTTGAAGAATCAAAGCTGGCGATAGTGAGCGAGATAGAAGAGGGCGTACGAATCTACAACAAATCAAAGCCAACCTGCCTTGCCACAGACTGGTCCAAAGTCGGAATAGGATTCTGGCTTTTCCAGAAGCACTGCACCTGCGCTAAGACAGAATTGTTTTGTTGTCCTACTGGATGAAGAATAACACTGGTAGGCAGTCGCTTCACCCACCCCGCCGAATCATGCTATGCTCCAGTAGAAGGCGAAGCCCTTGCCCTTGTCGACGCATTGGACAAGGCTCGGTACTTTGTGCTGGGATGCGAGGATCTAATAATTGCGGTGGACCACAAGCCATTTCTCAAGTTATTTGGCGACATAATCGATAATTATTGGCGGAAATCAAGTTGTAACCCAGCTACTGAAATTCGACTGTGAATTCAAGTTAAACCCTCCCTCATCGAGTCACATGAGAGGAGTCTGGGAAAGGCAGATCAGGAATGTCAGAAATGTCCTAAATGGGATACTGGAATAGTCAGGAACTCAACTCAGCACATCATCTCTTCGAACATTTCTGTATGAAGCAATGGCCATTGTCAATGGTAGGCCATTGACTGTCGAAGATTTGGAATGTCCAGACGGCCCAGTTCCCTTGACTCCTAACCATGTCCTGACTATGAAGTCAGGCCCTGTAATGCCCCCACCTTGGCAATTCGAGAGAGAGGACCTCTATCTTCAAAAGAGATGGCGACGCATACAATACCTGACCAATCTGTTCTGGGTTCGATGGAAAAAGAAATACCTACATACTCTCTAAGCCAGAAAGATCTGGTCAGAGCCGCAACGGAACATCGAAGTGAACGACATAGTCATATACTACAAGACGAGGGTATTTGCAGAACAGACTGGAGCATTGCCAACGTTGTTGAGACATTCCTCAGCGACGATGGCTTAGTTCGCAAAGTAAAGCTTCTCATGGCGACTCCAGACCTAGACAAGCACGGAAGGCCTCTTCACACAAAAACCGTACTCGAAAGACCTCTTCACAAACTGATCGTCTTGGTCTCTAACTCAGACTAGTTGTCAACTGTGATCCCGATCGTTTTGATAATTTACACCCACATTTGGTGACATCTTGAACGTTGTTTTAACCAAGTCCGCAGTCTCACGGAATGGAACAAGAAATGGCGCCTTAAGATCAACCTAAACAAGACCGAAGTGATCTGCTTCAGTAAGGAAGGGAACTTTCCAGTGAACATCACAGTGGAAGCGAAAACACTCTGGCAGGTCAGCTCCAAGGTATGCCTGGGAGTCACCTTGGATCAGCACCTGACGTTCCAAGAACACACTGACAAAACAGCCAAGAGAGCATTCGGAGACCTGGCAAGAATCAGCGAGCTATCTGGTGTTGCGCGTCCGAGGAACAACTCCGGAAAATTTACAGAGTGCAACGCATAGCCCTACTGTGAGCCTCTGGCACCATCAACACAACACCAGCGTCGGCCCTAGAAGTCCTCACGCATGTACCTCCGTTAAGACTCTGCTTTCAGGAAATCTTGGCTCACGAATTCATTCGCATCCTGAGGAAGCCCCATGACAACCCTCTCTGCTGCATGGTACTACATAACCTAGATAACAAAGTCTTCATGGATCACGGAACCCTAACCCCCTTACACCACATCGGAATGGCTGTCAACTCCCTATGCAGGCACTTCTCACTGGACCGGGTAGACCACGAACCACAATACAGCTTGGGCACGCTTAATGTGACGATGGTAACTAGGGTTAAAAACTCATGGAACACGCTCGGTAACAGCAAGAACAGTTCGACCGCTCAAGCTGAAAAGGCAAGGAAAATCACGAAGGAACAGCTGAGGGAGACTGATGAAAAGACCATAATCGCCTTCACTGACGGAGCAGCTCTCGGAAATCCTGGACCCTGTGGGGCGGCAGCCATCGTCTACGCGAATGGCATCAGCAGCCTAGCCATCACCGTCCGAAAGGCTGTCTCGTGTAAAAGCAGCAGCTATCACGGAGAACTTCACGCAATATTCCTCGCAATGGACTTCGCAGTCAACTACTCTGCACGCCACACCATATCAAAACTCTCGAATCTTCTCGAACTGCCAAAACGCCATTCTCACTGTCCCAGCCCACCAACAAAACAACAATTTCACAACACTTACCTCGAACATCCAAGAAAGAGTAAAGCAGCTATTCACAAACAACATCAAGATCGACATTTGCTGGGTAGCAGGACATGCAGGCCTGGCTGCAAACGAACTTGCAGACAAAGAAGCGAAACGGGCAGCCCCCCCCCGAGGCCGCAGAAAAGGTTAAATCTGAAGACCACTTTCCACTTTCCTTCTCCGAAGCCAAAGGAGAAATCAAGAAAGCCTTGGTAGTGCGATGGCAGGGTTCATGGGACAGCTCTGAAACAGGCAGGTATTTTCATCATCTGGAGCCAAAGGTTAACATATGCAGCGTTCGCAGCCTCACCAACCGCAGAACGGAAACCAAGCTCAACCGGATAAAAACCACATGTTCAAGATCGGGGCAAGTGATAGTCCCCTCTGCGACTGTGGCCTTGCTAATGAAACCGTGGACCACAAGATCTTCCATTGCTCACGACTCAGTAGGGTTAGCAGGGAGAGCATGACCGACACGATCGTATCTGGGGTATGTGAAAAATGACCAAACACCAACCCAAGCCACTTGGACAATTGACATTGCCACCCTTACTGGGGAAAACAAAATCTAACACCAGAGATGAATGCACCATCAAACAGGACTTCTCCAGATTCCTGTCTGAGTCCCTCCCAGTAATCTAGCCACAGACACTCCGTTGTTAACCAAAAAACCAATTACTATGAGGAACACGGGTAGCTAACGATACAAAGCGTGTATACATTTGGACCATGACCTCGTTAGCAGGAGGATGAAATATGAATAACAACAACAACAACAACTATAGTAAATTTACTTGTATAATTACTTACAATTACGTGGGAAGTAATTCTTACTATCTGCTAAGTTAGGAATATTCATTTAGAACAAACAAACTAAGTCATCATTAGATTTTTATGGCCAGCCTATTTTCAGCTTCTTATTTAGCCTTATGCCTTGACGCATACATCGTGCGCGTTTTTATCGCAGTTATTCCGGCGATTCTGTTGCCGCAACAATCGTCCGAGAAATCGACAGCCAAATTGCGCTGTCACGGCTGCTTCCCGATTTTGACTCGCCATGAACTCGTCGCTTGGAATATGCTAACATGTTTGAATTTGTTGCCGAGTCGCTTTGAACAACGCTACGTGGCGCTGACAACTGGGACGGATCATGGCCAGTGCTTTGGATTACAATCAAAATGCCATGTTTGAAGCATGTGATCAATATTGGCCAGCACCGTGGTGTGGTTTGTAACATGGTCACGTTACAGTTCATACAGGTCGGTATGTCACTGACAGATTGGTTGCAATTGTCGCTGAGGTGGCGCTACACGTGGCGATTTTTATCGGGACAGTGCTTTCGCGTGATAAAGACATCCGCGGTACTGTCGTATAAAAATCGTGCCACGTTTTGCGGCCCGGCTTTTAGGTATGAAATGGCATCACCGCTGCGTTTCTGCGAATTGTTTATATCGTCTGTCACATTGCAACGTCATGGATGGGGTACTAATGTTCAAAGGTTCATGCATATAAACGCATCTGTAGACTATTAATACCCGCTCCAATACCTCGTTTACTCGATCGAGTAATCGTATACCAGTTCGATAAACAGGTGGGAGCGGGTACCAGTCTAAACGCATCGCCAGGCGCTAGCCAGCAACATCAGAAGCAGGAATAAAGTACGTTGTATTACTGTATCTACAATACATACGATACCATAGATTAGGATTCTCTATTCCTAAAGATCAAGGCTCTCGAGCTATGCAGAGTTATATTGTGATAGCTGTTAGGCCTAATACATTTATTAGTTTTTTGTTGTAGGTATAGCCGTGGTGGATAATACTAGTTTGTAAGGGTTGATCCTTACACGATTGGAAAACATACATATATTAGCAAGTGTAATTTTATGT